CAAGAAAAATGTTTTTTTTAGAATCACTTCTCCAAAAAAATACCATGGTTCCGAATCTCCTCACCGCTGATACTGCGTTGGAAGTGGGCAAGGACATCTTACCGGCAAAACCGTCCATCTGCACTATCTTTGAGCATGGCGAGTTGTTCTTGACTTGTTGATTCACTTTTCATGCGCAATTTATCCGGGTTGGTGTTTTGAACAATGATGAATTGGAAATGAAAACAAACCAAGATGAAAATAGTAATGAGTTTTTTTTTCTGTGTCAGTAGTAGAAAGTACAGATATTTGCGTTTAAATGTACAAAGTACAAAGTTGAAAAATAACTACCGTACTTCCATCAAGCATAGATGCCACAAATTTCTAGTTTAGTAAGGAAACAAAGTATTTTTTTGATGTTAGCTGACACTTCTGCAAATTGGCCGCTGTGTGTGACAATTCATTTTTAACTAAGTTTTGCCAAAGGTAATTAAAGCCCAACTTGAAGTTATAAAATATATTTGAGGGGCATTTTTGGAGATGCGGCCCGGTAGTCAACTGGTTAGCGCGGCGGCCTCACGGTGTAGAGGACGTGGGTTCGATTCCACCTCCGGCCTTCCTGTGTGGAGTTTGCATGTTCTCACCATGCATGTGTGGTTTTTCTCCGGGTACTCCGGTTTCCTCCCACATTCCAAAAACATGCATGGCAGGCTGATTGAACACTCTTAATTGTGTGAGTGTGGATGGTTCTTCTACGTGTGCCCTATGATTTGCTGGCAACCAAGGTGTACCCCGCGTATTGCCCGAAGACAAATGAGGTCGGCTCCAGCACGCCCCGCGACCCTTGTGAGGATAAGCGAATTAGAAAATTGGATGAATGGATGTTTGAGGACAACCTCAGAGAAAAGACTCTGAGCCTCGTGTTGATTGATTGCGGAAAGGCAGGTAAAGAGCATTCCATCCATGACACAAGCTGTTGTCCTCTGAGACATAAACCTGTGACGTCCACAGCGGTTGCACAGTAAAATGGGTCATCACTGAAACTTTGTTTTGCTGTGAACAAACTTCTTTCACACGCAGCCATATAGCAACGAGGTTATTTGAAAGTTTCTTAACATGCTAGGTCTTCTTGAGTACCTCTTGACTTCTCAAGTTATGCCTGTGGAAGAATATCACCCTTGCTATTTAAAGTCTTTAAAAGACTGCCATTATAGAATGTGCTTGATACAAGAGCAGTGAGTTGTGCTAACAACCATTATGTTAAATGACGCAATTCATGTCAAAGGTATGCACAAATTGCTGGAGGATATCCAGTTTTGCACCCCACAGGAGGAAACTTTCATGCTCATTTGCTTTGTCAAATAAGGATGTAGGTATTGGATGAGTTCAAAGCGCCATTTCCTGTTTTTTCTTTTTTTTTCTTTTTACAATGAATCCAGACGTCAGGGCTTTAACGGAAACAGAAGTTTTAAGTTAATAACTTACGGTTTAGAATCACTTTGCAACTGATTCCCATATCCAAACAACACCTGCTTCCCATATATCGAGTTTGCAAGTCAATAAAATTGCTAACCACTGCTTCTGAAAAGGGACCATGACCACCAAGCCATCAACGGTAATAACAAACATATTTTGTCATTTCGCTGAAGTAGGGTTGTCCAAACTTTTTCATTTTGAGTGCTGCATACAGAAAAATGAAAGAAGGGACACTTTGAAAATCGTTGATTTTGATTTATAAAAACCACTGAAATCAATGAATCAAGCAATCATATTTAATATACATAGGGAGAACATGCACAATAGGACCGGGAATAGAACTCTGCACCTCTACACTGTGAGGCGGACGTGCTCACCAGTAGACCACCGTGCTGCCTCTATCTATCTATCGATCTATCTATGAAATTGAAATTAATAGTGGGTTTTTCAAATTATGAACATTGGAAAATCAACACTTTTTTTTTTTTTTTACACTTTGTCCCTTTCAGGTTCATAGGTAAAACGTACGTACATACTATTCTCAGAATGACTGAACGGAAGTAGGTACACCAAACCTCAAACGCCACACACAGCTTATCCTCTTTTACAATACACGTACATTTTTCCCCTCAACACAAGCACAAAAGAAAATTTTCAAAGTTCTTGATCAAATGTCATATTTGACTTAAAGGACAAATGCAATGGAATACCGCTGACAAGGATATCTTGGTTATTATTGACTAAAACGTCATAGGCTGTTCTGGTATCCAGCTGATGTGATTCAAACACATTCACTTTTGTTCCTAATATAACGGTTTAACAGTCGCTGATGACGTAGAGGATACACTTGCCTAACCTGTGTGCGGGCAGCAGGTTCCCATTAAGGATGTGAGAGTTTTATTATTTTGGTGGGGATGGCACTTGGTGTAAAATGTTTGAGACCCACTAGCACTGTCCAATGATATTTAAAAGAAACACTGGGGGTCAGTGTCGTACAACGGATGAGAAAAATAATTTTACTTTATTATTATTATTATTATTATTTTGTAGGGCCTTTAAATTAAGCACGTTGGATAGTTGTGCTTATTAACTTAGTTGCTGTTTTGGTGAAGGCATTAGACGAGGTCACCTGACCTCGAGGTCTCTGAGGGGCAGAGGTGCTGCTGAGAGAGAGAGAGCGAGAGAGAGAGAGAGAGAGAGAGAGAGAGAGAGAGAGAGAGAGAGAGAGAGTCAACAATGCGTTCGTTCGACAACGTGATAATTCTTAAAAGTGTAAAAAAGAACTATAACAAAACAGTTTTACCAAGGAATCCTCAAGTGACAAATCAAAACCTTCAAATAGATGCTCGTTTCAGTACCAGCCAATTGTAGACCCCTTTTTTTTTGTACATATATTGTACATTGTATTAATGAAACAATGTTTCTGAAGGCGAAGAGAATGGTATATTGCAACTAACTATGCGGCGGTTTAAGAAGTGGCTCAAAATTTACTGTGAAATTCTACAACACCGCAACACCCCTCTAAAAGATAACGTTAATGCTACTCAGAGAGTGTCACTCACAATACTTTGTTGTAAAAAATGTGTTTCTAAAATTGTCTTTAATTGTCTCGAATGACGATAATAATGTTTTGCTTTTTCCTCGCAGTGAAATATATATTTCCACATCGGGCATATAATAGATAATAAGAAGTCTATATAATACAATATATGACTTGGCGACTAATTGAGGCCTGGTCAACAAAGGTAATAATGACATTGGACGCTATTGTGTCGGATTACATGCAATTGTAGAGGTGTACCAAATGTCTCACTAGTTAATTGTAATTTCATCGTTATATGATGTGATGCAAGGGTATTTTTGACCCACAAGCCCTGCATTTCTAAATGTTTTTATCTCCATAGGCTTACATCAATCTGGAGAGGTATGAGGAGGCCATCAGTGACTGTGAATGGGCTCTGAAGGTGAGGTACTGCTGGAGGTTTGTTTGAGTCATTTGCAGCCTAGTTTGTCATAGCATGCCACTCTGTGGTCGGATGGGTTCATGGGATGCATTTCACAGCAAAGCAGTCATACAGAAACACGAAGCTCTGTTGGCAAAAGTGAAATTTAACCGTTTGCAATAAAGCCAGTTTTACTGCTAACAGCTGGCATCATTTTTGTAAGACTGCACGGTTTATGAAACAAAGTGGAAGTGACAAATCACTGCTGTAAATACAGCTCTTTGCCCACTTCTGTATTGATGATGTTAGTCACACCTGAGCTATTTATATTGGGACACACAAATGTGAAATGTCACTCTCTCATTTTGCTCCTTTGATTGCTTCCACTCTTCTGGGCAGACTTTACAGTATCATTTCATACCTTAAAGGGATAAACTCCACCCTGATTTTTATGAACTCTTAGGCCCAATACACTACTACACCATAATGCTGGTTGTGATGATGGCACTTGTAAAGTTAAGTTGGATGTCAATTACTCAGTAGACATAACTGACAGGTGTCAAAGTCAAGGCCTGGGGGCCAGATCTGGCCCACCATATAATTTTATGTGGCCCGCAAAAGCAAATCAAGCATGTCAAGTTCCATGATGCTTGCTAAAGTCTGAACCAAAATTTCAAATGATCATATGTAATCCACAATAACAGTAATTATTCTTGACTTCTGATTTTAAAACTAGTTAATCATCAATTTGTTGTGTGATGTGTATGTAATATGTGCAGGGGATTAAACATATGGTTTCCCCAAATTCATAACGGCCCTCCAAGGGAAAACCGTAACTACAATGTGGCCCGCGACAAAAATGAGTTTGACACCCTTAACATAAGGGCAAGACTTGAGAATTTTCCAAGCCGAAACTGATAACAGTCAAATATTCCTTGACATTAATGATATGACATTTTTTTCAGGACAGCACTATAATTAGAAAAAACACCAGCTCAGAATTCATACACAGAATTTCCACAAAACAGCATGCTCATGAACATCAAGCAGCAACTCAGCGGTGACATTTTACCTAACATACACGTCAGAACACAAGAGCATTGATATGAGTTGGGTGAATGCTCACCCGCTGTTGCATTGTGGTAATTCTTGCCCCCCAAAAATCCCCTGCTTGCTTACTGCTGGAATAGCCAGGTTAAACCTGTCGTCATTGATCTGGGCCCAACA